GTCCCTAAAGAACTGGGCACCCAGGGCAGGGCATTCTTTTGCCCCCTTACTCTTCCTCTACTGAGATGAATGATAAAAAAAATAATACAGTATTACCCCGCTTTACTAGGTTTCACTTTCCGCGATTTCTCATTTACACAGTACAGTATCTCGCCAGAACCAAACCGAACTTTCCGCGGTGCATCTACCCATATACGCGCAGAGTCTGGGGCGACGCTATTTTTTTATTCGGCCCTCCCGCTTTCTCCCGCCTGGGCAAGCCGGGCGGTAAGGTTGCGCAGTGCTTGTCTCTGTTGCGTTATCAGTGACATCATATGATGTATCGGACTGTGATTGAGCCATGCATCCTTACCTCCCTCCGCTGCTAGCTGTGATTGGTTTAAAGTAATATGACGTGTCCACCCACGGGAGGGAGGGAGGAAAGACGACACTTGACCTAGCCGCGTCAGTTTCATCCCTCCAGGCCACCGATATAAAGCAGTACATCAAGTCAGCGAATCTACGATTCGTACTATTAAGAAGGATGCAGCCAAGATCAAAGAACAAATGAGAATCACAAAGTATGCAGGTGCTTCAATGATCAAGTATTGCCAGAACAAGGTGCTGCTAAAAGTTGAAAATTTGCTGGTGAGTTACTTGATTCATCAGGCGCGACGCTACATGGCGTTGGACACGTGATCCGTTCAAGAGTACGCCCGTGAACTGTACGCAGCAGTGTCACGTAAGATGGGAATTGCAGAGCCCAAACCCTTCAATGCTTCCTCTGGTTGGCTGCAAAGGTTTAAGAAGAGGAACAAGATCACCAACATCAACATTGGTGGTGAAGAAGAGAGTGCTGAACGTGTGGCGGCTAGAGATTTTCCTCCGTTCTTATGTGAGGTTATGGAGGAAGGGCAGTACACCGACGACCAGGTGTTCAACATGGACGAATCTGGTCTATTTTAGAAAAAACTGCCTACCAAGACCTTCCTTGTCCAGTCTGCCAGAAAGATTCGGGGCCGGAAGTTGCAGAAGGAGCGCATCACCGTCCTCTTTACCACCAATGCCTCCAGTACCTGTAAACCCAAGTTATCGGTGATTCACACAGCCCGCAAGCCGCACGCCTACAAGAACGTGGACATGAGCAAGATTAATGTCCACTGGCTGACCGCACGCAAGGCGTGGATGCTCTCTGCTCTGTCACTCTCCTGGTTTGATGACTGTTTCGTTCCCGACTTGAAGAAATTCTGCGAGCAACAGAATGTTCCATTCAAGATTTTGTTGCTGCTTGACAACGCACCTGGACACTCGCCACTACTTATGGATCGTCACCCCAACGTAATAGTGGTCTTCCTTCCTCCCAACACTACGTCATTAATCCAGCCCATGGACCAGGAGTTGATGTGCAATGTGAAAGCTGCGTACTCTGCAAAGAAATAAAAGCTCCTGAACGACTGCACCAACACCAAGGAAGATGGCCACTGTACTTACAGCTAACTTTTACTGATGAAGGCCACTGTCCCTACAGCTAACTTTTACCGATGACAGCCACTGTACCTACAGCTAACTTTTACTGATGATGGCCACTGTACCTA